TTGTTACGATACAGTGAGTTGGTGTAGACGATGATATGACTTCCACGTAAGATCTTCTAGATTAGGCAGTTATATCATGACAAATCTACAATTTTAGGATTAGGTCTATTATTAGAGCAGTACTAATATCATAGTAGAACATTGTGGTGAACCAGACAATATAGGAACTCAAAAAGTATCAACAGAGTTATTAGGGACAAATAGTAATGGCAATATATATATAAGTTAAATGTCATAAACACAATAGAAGTGAGGGAAATTACTTAGTTCACCAGGTTAGTGTGCGTTCTGATTTAATCTGGTGCCAAATATCCACAATTATAGATGGTTGATAATTCCAGTAAGTTTGACAAACTACCCAGTGATATGATCCAACGTAGGATGTGATATATTCCAATTACAGTCTATAAATGTAGATAGTATTTGATTTAGACTTCGGTTAACTCACAAGTGAATGTAGAACGAGGGGTATGTGCGCAACAATATATTTGTTAGCGGTCAACAGAATGTCATGCTATGAAAGTTACACAACGGAAAGTATGTTCAAGGTCATACACTTAAACAACACGTACAATCATTTAATGGTAAATGTACATGCAGTGAAAAATTAACAAAATAAATACAAATAACATTAAAAACTATTTACAAAATAAGCTTGTCAGGCATATCTCCACACCATAATTCTACAGTCCTTCCCTACAACTATGAGAATACATATTGACTCAATTGCAATATAATTTTTTCCACTAAGGGGAGTGAAATTCGCAAGGCGAATAAGCTCAGTTAAGCACAAGATTTTTATCATGTCCACCGCCAGAATCTCCAAATATGTGATTGTTATGACCTTGAATCGCTTTTACCCCGTGATACTTGTTATGACTTGACCTTGGTCGGTGTAGTCTAAATTATGACCTTGACGCGTTAGGCTGAGTGGCTTAACCTTGAGTCTAATATGCGTGAGTTCGAGATGGGGTAGAGAGAACTATTCTAAATCCTGATTGGTTGGCAAGCACGCGAGTGAAAGAAGACAAGACAGTTGGAACACTAAACTCTGGATTCTCTGAATTCGGATTACTACAAAAATGTACATGAATAAATAAGTGCATATCTTGACCACGACGTAGGATAATTTGGAAAAATACAGTTATGCCCGAAACAGGGAATTAGGGTAGAAAATATAGTGCAAAATATAATGTTTAAATTACAATATTTTTGGAACAAAAAAGGGTATGCTAGTGAATGATACATAGAACGAAAGCTCGTGTTATGTAGAATAAGATAGGGACAAAAATAAATATAAGTGTTTTACAGGTTTTGAATGAAATGCAATAACGTCCCAAGAAAATAGCTTTCGTAATTGTCTGGGCTTCTTAATTCCCCGTTCATAACACCTTCCCCCTTTAAAAAAAAAGAAAAAAAAATATGGTTAGTTACTATATACAGGTAAGTGCTGAGATATCATCATTGATATCTTCCTTCGGAAACGTATGTTCTCCTCTTTGGGTCTACCTGTAGAATATCTGGTCTTCTGCGTTTCCGTGATGCTTTCCTAATAGGACTTTGTTCAGGTTGCGTGGTCTTCTGAGTCGCTGAGCATTTTATGTCAAAACTGTCCAGAATGATTCTCCACATTGAGTCTAATTTCTCGGTTTTCTGTGAAGTGCCAGCATTTTCCAGTATGTGGTTGACATGGCGTGTCCACTTCTGTCCTTCAACTTCCACCACATACATTACGTTCCCTTGTCTCTTAAGTATGCGTCCACTGGTCCATTGTGGAGGTGAATATCGGAAATCGCGGACGTATACTTTTTGATTTTTCTGGAAAATTCTGCGTTTCGCCCCATGATGGCGATCAAATTGGTTTTCCATCTTTCTGTTTCTTTTTCCGATGTCTCTTTGCTGTGGTTTCATGGCATCGAGGGCAGTTCTTACTTTTCTACCAAACATAATTTCTGCTGGGGACATTTGATTTGGTGTTGATGGGTTTGGAGTTGTTCTGTAGACCAAGAGAAAGTCATCAAGAATCTCCTCTATCTTTCCCTCCCCTTTTGCCTTCAGTAGCGCTCTTTTGAAGGTATCTACAAACCTTTCGGCCTGACCATTCGATTGTGGATGGTACGGAGGTGAACGGACATGTTTGACTCCAAACCTCTTGCAGAAATCTGAGAAGATGGAAGAAATAAACTGAGTGCCGTTATCTGTCACGAGAACATCTGGAACTCCAAAACGGGAGAATAACTGCCGTAGCTTCATGATAGTCTGTTGCGAAGTGATTTGATTTATAGGAAAAATCTCCGGCCATTTTGAATAAGCATCAACACAAACGAGGAAGTACGTACCCTGGAATGGGCCAGCAAAATCAACATGTATACGCGACCAAGGTTCTTCTGGAGATGGCCAAGATTGTAGTTCAGCTTTTCGTGGACACTTAGAAAGAAGTACATGAGACTCCGAAGTTTCACTAGCGCATACTTTGTCTGAAGTATTCGATTTGGAAATTTTATGAGAAGGCAATGAATCGGCGGTATTTGATTTGACATGGTGAGAACACATAACATTTGAATTGTTTGATTCAGAAAGATCATAAGAACATGTTTCATCAGAAGCATTTAATTCGTTAATATCCAGAGAGGATGATTCGTCGGAGGCATTTGATTTAGAAATATCATTAGGGATTTGGATAGAATCATAGGAAACATTTTGAGAACATACCTCATCTAATAATTTATTCAAAGTATCAACATGTGCAATCCAATCTAATCCCAATAGATCTAAATCGTGTCGATTTGTTAGATAACAAACATCTGTAAATTTGCTTCCCATAAGTTGAACATTGCATAGGACCTCTCCTGTCAACTTTACTATGTCTCCTGACGCATTTCGGGCGACATGTTCCGTCGGTCGGATGGATGGGCATCCTAACTTGTGCCATGTGTTCTTTGAAATCAACGTGACATCAGAAGCAGTGTCCAACTGAAGTCGTATAAGTTTTCCATTTACTAATAAATTTACGAATTTCCGCCTACTTTTAAATCCAACTTTAAAGGTTGCAAACGTGGTTTTAATTTGACTGTCTGATCGTTGCTTTGAATTTTCACTACGATGTTTAGTCTTGCGTTTATTTAACGAACAATGACCTTCTTTGTGGCCAATGCGATGACATTTGCGGCATTTATGATTCTTAAACGGACAGAATTTTGCAAAATGCCATGCTCCGCAGAACCAGCATGGTGATGGGGGGTTGGCAGGTTGTTTCCTGCTTGTACAGTTTTGTTTCGATGATTTTATGGATCGGAGCGCATTAATTGAATCAGAACCGGAAGGTTTAACCTTCTGTTGCACCATCGCAGTGTCATGCTTGAGATTAAGTAACCGCTGACATTCGGTTGTAACCATTTGTAATGTCATATTTGGTTCTTGTTCAATGCGTGCCAACATTCTGGTACGGACATCTGCATCTTCTTCATTCTTTAGACCACATATGAAAATCAAGCATTTAAATTGGTCCGCTGTGATTTCGTTTATTTTGAAGCGTTCGCACTGTCGATTTACCTTCCCGGCATACGTGAGATAATCGTCCTCTGGAGATTTCGTTATTTGGAAGCATTTATAGCGAGTATTAAATAATGAGGACTGTTCATCGAAAATATCAGATAAAATCTGGACTGTATCTTTGAATGATACATCTCGTGGATTTTGCGGCAAGATAAAATTCACATATTTATTATATTCCTGTGTTCCCAGTCTTCTTAAGAGTAAGCGGACTTTCGCTGCGTCATCAAGATGCGAGCATTCAACGCGGAAAATATCTTCACAACGGTGAAACCACGAACTGAAAATGATATTAGCTTCAGGATCATACTGGAATTCAGAAATAGAATTTATGATGCTTTCATGCTTATCTGATTGACAAGCTGAGGACGACTGTAATGAGAACATTCGTGCGAATGCATCCAAAAGCTTCGTCTGATTTGCCTCATTTTGTGCTTGCTGCATTTGAAGAATAGTTTTAAGGTCATCCAATGAAACAGGCATTTTGTACTGGATCAATCAATATAGGAAAGAAAAAAAAATTCTCCGTCGCCAGTTGTTATGACCTTGAATCGCTTTTACCCCGTGATACTTGTTATGACTTGACCTTGGTCGGTGTAGTCTAAATTATGACCTTGACGCGTTAGGCTGAGTGGCTTAACCTTGAGTCTAATATGCGTGAGTTCGAGATGGGGTAGAGAGAACTATTCTAAATCCTGATTGGTTGGCAAGCACGCGAGTGAAAGAAGACAAGACAGTTGGAACACTAAACTCTGGATTCTCTGAATTCGGATTACTACAAAAATGTACATGAATAAATAAGTGCATATCTTGACCACGACGTAGGATAATTTGGAAAAATACAGTTATGCCCGAAACAGGGAATTAGGGTAGAAAATATAGTGCAAAATATAATGTTTAAATTACAATATTTTTGGAACAAAAAAGGGTATGCTAGTGAATGATACATAGAACGAAAGCTCGTGTTATGTAGAATAAGATAGGGACAAAAATAAATATAAGTGTTTTACAGGTTTTGAATGAAATGCAATAACGTCCCAAGAAAATAGCTTTCGTAATTGTCTGGGCTTCTTAATTCCCCGTTCATAACACCTTCCCCCTTTAAAAAAAAAAGAAAAAAAATATGGTTAGTTACTATATACAGGTAAGTGCTGAGATATCATCATTGATATCTTCCTTCGGAAACGTATGTTCTCCTCTTTGGGTCTACCTGTAGAATATCTGGTCTTCTGCGTTTCCGTGATGCTTTCCTAATAGGACTTTGTTCAGGTTGCGTGGTCTTCTGAGTCGCTGAGCATTTTATGTCAAAACTGTCCAGAATGATTCTCCACATTGAGTCTAATTTCTCGGTTTTCTGTGAAGTGCCAGCATTTTCCAGTATGTGGTTGACATGGCGTGTCCACTTCTGTCCTTCAACTTCCACCACATACATTACGTTCCCTTGTCTCTTAAGTATGCGTCCACTGGTCCATTGTGGAGGTGAATATCGGAAATCGCGGACGTATACTTTTTGATTTTTCTGGAAAATTCTGCGTTTCGCCCCATGATGGCGATCAAATTGGTTTTCCATCTTTCTGTTTCTTTTTCCGATGTCTCTTTGCTGTGGTTTCATGGCATCGAGGGCAGTTCTTACTTTTCTACCAAACATAATTTCTGCTGGGGACATTTGATTTGGTGTTGATGGGTTTGGAGTTGTTCTGTAGACCAAGAGAAAGTCATCAAGAATCTCCTCTATCTTTCCCTCCCCTTTTGCCTTCAGTAGCGCTCTTTTGAAGGTATCTACAAACCTTTCGGCCTGACCATTCGATTGTGGATGGTACGGAGGTGAACGGACATGTTTGACTCCAAACCTCTTGCAGAAATCTGAGAAGATGGAAGAAATAAACTGAGTGCCGTTATCTGTCACGAGAACATCTGGAACTCCAAAACGGGAGAATAACTGCCGTAGCTTCATGATAGTCTGTTGCGAAGTGATTTGATTTATAGGAAAAATCTCCGGCCATTTTGAATAAGCATCAACACAAACGAGGAAGTACGTACCCTGGAATGGGCCAGCAAAATCAACATGTATACGCGACCAAGGTTCTTCTGGAGATGGCCAAGATTGTAGTTCAGCTTTTCGTGGACACTTAGAAAGAAGTACATGAGACTCCGAAGTTTCACTAGCGCATACTTTGTCTGAAGTATTCGATTTGGAAATTTTATGAGAAGGCAATGAATCGGCGGTATTTGATTTGACATGGTGAGAACACATAACATTTGAATTGTTTGATTCAGAAAGATCATAAGAACATGTTTCATCAGAAGCATTTAATTCGTTAATATCCAGAGAGGATGATTCGTCGGAGGCATTTGATTTAGAAATATCATTAGGGATTTGGATAGAATCATAGGAAACATTTTGAGAACATACCTCATCTAATAATTTATTCAAAGTATCAACATGTGCAATCCAATCTAATCCCAATAGATCTAAATCGTGTCGATTTGTTAGATAACAAACATCTGTAAATTTGCTTCCCATAAGTTGAACATTGCATAGGACCTCTCCTGTCAACTTTACTATGTCTCCTGACGCATTTCGGGCGACATGTTCCGTCGGTCGGATGGATGGGCATCCTAACTTGTGCCATGTGTTCTTTGAAATCAACGTGACATCAGAAGCAGTGTCCAACTGAAGTCGTATAAGTTTTTCATTTACTAATAAATTTACGAATTTCCGCCTACTTTTAAATCCAACTTTAAAGGTTGCAAACGTGGTTTTAATTTGACTGTCTGATCGTTGCTTTGAATTTTCACTACGATGTTTAGTCTTGCGTTTATTTAACGAACAATGACCTTCTTTGTGGCCAATGCGATGACATTTGCGGCATTTATGATTCTTAAACGGACAGAATTTTGCAAAATGCCATGCTCCGCAGAACCAGCATGGTGATGGGGGGTTGGCAGGTTGTTTCCTGCTTGTACAGTTTTGTTTCGATGATTTTATGGATCGGAGCGCATTAATTGAATCAGAACCGGAAGGTTTAACCTTCTGTTGCACCATCGCAGTGTCATGCTTGAGATTAAGTAACCGCTGACATTCGGTTGTAACCATTTGTAATGTCATATTTGGTTCTTGTTCAATGCGTGCCAACATTCTGGTACGGACATCTGCATCTTCTTCATTCTTTAGACCACATATGAAAATCAAGCATTTAAATTGGTCCGCTGTGATTTCGTTTATTTTGAAGCGTTCGCACTGTCGATTTACCTTCCCGGCATACGTGAGATAATCGTCCTCTGGAGATTTCGTTATTTGGAAGCATTTATAGCGAGTATTAAATAATGAGGACTGTTCATCGAAAATATCAGATAAAATCTGGACTGTATCTTTGAATGATACATCTCGTGGATTTTGCGGCAAGATAAAATTCACATATTTATTATATTCCTGTGTTCCCAGTCTTCTTAAGAGTAAGCGGACTTTCGCTGCGTCATCAAGATGCGAGCATTCAACGCGGAAAATATCTTCACAACGGTGAAACCACGAACTGAAAATGATATTAGCTTCAGGATCATACTGGAATTCAGAAATAGAATTTATGATGCTTTCATGCTTATCTGATTGACAAGCTGAGGACGACTGTAATGAGAACATTCGTGCGAATGCATCCAAAAGCTTCGTCTGATTTGCCTCATTTTGTGCTTGCTGCATTTGAAGAATAGTTTTAAGGTCATCCAATGAAACAGGCATTTTGTACTGGATCAATCAATATAGGAAAGAAAAAAAAATTCTCCGTCGCCAGTTGTTATGACCTTGAATCGCTTTTACCCCGTGATACTTGTTATGACTTGACCTTGGTCGGTGTAGTCTAAATTATGACCTTGACGCGTTAGGCTGAGTGGCTTAACCTTGAGTCTAATATGCGTGAGTTCGAGATGGGGTAGAGAGAACTATTCTAAATCCTGATTGGTTGGCAAGCACGCGAGTGAAAGAAGACAAGACAGTTGGAACACTAAACTCTGGATTCTCTGAATTCGGATTACTACAAAAATGTACATGAATAAATAAGTGCATATCTTGACCACGACGTAGGATAATTTGGAAAAATACAGTTATGCCCGAAACAGGGAATTAGGGTAGAAAATATAGTGCAAAATATAATGTTTAAATTACAATATTTTTGGAACAAAAAAGGGTATGCTAGTGAACGATACATAGAACGAAAGCTCGTGTTATGTAGAATAAGATAGGGACAAAAATAAATATAAGTGTTTTACAGGTTTTGAATGAAATGCAATAACGTCCCAAGAAAATAGCTTTCGTAATTGTCTGGGCTTCTTAATTCCCCGTTCATAACTGTGATATAAAATGAAAACGATACAACAATCATAGCATTCCCAACGTCAGAGAGTCGATTCTAAATTTATAACTGTAACCAATATGATAATAATTACTAATTAACTAAAAATTAAACGATTTATTTGTAGAGACAGTCGATAACAAGAGACGAGAAATGAAAGGAAAAATAAGAGGATAGTCATGGAAAACAACATGCATATAGGAATTTTTTAATAAAGTCATACAGGCACATGCATGTGGACTCTACATTGGCCATTTTCGAAGTATATCTCTGCATCGCTTCTTACTGGCTGCTTCAGGGATCCTTTAATTAAAAGATATTTCTAGCAACAGCGTCATCGAATAATGTATATTCGTCATATTTTTAATGGTGAGATCAACGTAGTCCGGTGCATCAAGTGATACGCTGTGAGTCCATCACTTGTCTTAGCACTATTTTTGATGAGTCCCTCCTCTAACCATATAGGACGATGTGACCGACTGACTTTCCTGAACATTCATTGATGGTACGCTGCAACTACATTAGCTGTTTTAGTCATTAACTTGCTTGCCTTATTTCCATTTCGATGACTGCTAATCATTTGTGAACTATATAGAAGTGATTGACAATTCCTTGCCATTTGGTAGCACATACAGAGAAACTTTACATGGGTAGTTATGCCTCTAACTTCTTCATTCCCTTCATAATTTTTTCCATTTGACGTTGCTTGAGTCAGATATTTACCACTCAGATTCGATTCTAGCACACCGATTCCTCCATCACACGCATACTTTACATGAGACACTTGTTAACCATCCTATTGTGTTGTAGACATTTAAGAAATTTTTATTAGACATGGAAAGTCACTTGATTTGATTGTCTGCGATTTGACGGTCATGATAGTTGTGGTAGAGACGACACACATGAATATCAACTCTTTTTCCAATTATTTTGTTTGTGTGCACTAAAGCTATCCAACCTTACTTCGGTAGGATATTTTATCCAACCTGTATGGAGTTGAATTTGAGTGTCTCCATATACATTTGTAACTGGCTCAACCAGCTTTTCGTGTGTCCATTTTAAGTTTATTACTACTTTCTCTTTTACTAGCTTTTACTTTACAAATCACATTTTTCTGATCTTAATTTTTCTGTACACCAGCTGTCCAATCTCTTTAATTGTATTTTTCAGCTAGGTTTGGCAATATTCTATTCTTTTTAAGCTAATCTAACGTCATTTGTTTTCTGTTATCAATTCGTAGTATAATAGATCTTGAAGTGCTTTGTACTGTTCTAGGTTTATATTCGTCTTTCTGACACAGTTTTGTAGTTACTAGCTCGTAGATCAGGGCGGTTATTACTAATGATTCTGTTTTTTCCTTCGTCGCAAAACTGATATTATTTGACCATATGACTGGACTTGTTTTGATACTCATACGTTTTGCTCCATATTTATCTTACTTTACAATCTCATCTGTGGGACTATCTTTCTCAAAATAGGATGTTAGGCACCTAAGCAGGTTTGCAATTTCAATTATCCGACTTTTTACTTCTCTCGACTTTGCATGCGTTTATGATCGTTGACTTTGCTTTCACATGCGACAAACTAATTATGATTTTTTATAAGTGATATTGCAGATCACATAATACTTTAATTACATGACGAACTTTTTTGCGATAATGCACAACTCATCTACATCTTCAATATGGAATAGGGTTTACATTTTTATATTTTTGTCCATTATCTTTATTCCAAAGTACATTTTATCAAATCTTTCCTTGAGAAATTCTTGAAATACAAGACTGAATGATACATCCATGTCTAAAACTCCAACTCATTTTGAAAAAGGAATTCGGCCCTGTTGAATGCCTTTCGAATAACCAAATAGACCATCAAAGATTCTTCACAGAGCCACAAAAAGATCAACCATAAATTTCAACAGTGAGGAATTGAACTGGGTAACAAATATCCGATTAAAAAGAGAGTATACTCGTTTCTTATAGAAATTGCAAAATTTGCAAACGGAAAATCGAACGGAGGAAAGATCGGAACTAGATAAGAATGAAAAGCCCATGTAAAACAAATTTAGCAAAAAATAGTAAAATGACGATGAGAAAAAAAAACACAAGACTAACATAGAAAAGAAAAAACAGCGCATATAAAGATGTTATATTCACAAACGATAAAATTGAAGTAAGCAGAATGGGCATATATGTTAAAAAGAGATGAGCAAACAGATAGACAATGTGTTGAAGCCCAGAGCGAACAGTACTGAGTTCGAGTGTCCGATTGGACATCAACTCTGGGGTGCAGGTACGTCCAGCCGACGAGTCCCAAATACGACGAAACGTGCCTCCTGTATTCTACTGATACTCACCACCCATCATCTCTGTTTAGATTGCTTGTGACTTAAGGCAATATCGAGGTAATTTGGATACTTTGTCATTTTCTTGGTGTTTATAATCATTGTGAGTTCAAGCATCGGTACTGCTTTTTAGTCATTTCTTCAAGTATTTTCGAGTTTTAGCCAACTCTACAATCTAAAATACACAATTCATTTAGCTTGCGACTCATCTTATATTTATACTGATACTCGAATCCAGTGCTAATTACCCCAAACAATTAAAGCGTGATTAGATACAATATCTACCGTAATTGCATAATCTGTTCTGATTTATATTATTTTATTGGCGCTATATATTGTTTTCCATTTAAATCAGCATGCTAGATGTATGTTAATAACACTTGGATGACACTTCAGCAGGAAGTACTTAGGGTGCAGACTGCTTAACGAAGATATAAATTGTCTTTAAAACAAATTGGGATTTGTTGAATGCTTTTGGAGGTATTAAGATTAAAAATCTTTTGTGATTCGGAACTTAAATATAACAAATTAATATTTAGATTGAGATCATGAACCGATTGATGTTAGACCACCAGTGGAAACCTGGAAACACTGGACGGCTGTTTCGTCCTATTGCGGGACTCCTCAGCAGTGGGCATCTGCGATTGTTTGAGGTTAGACGTTGACACCATTGGATGCCGGCTCAGTAGTCCAGCAGGTTAAGCGTTCGAGCGCGGGACTGAAGGCCCCTGGTTCTAATTCCGTGAGCGGGATCGTGGGTGCGCACTGTTGGGGAGCCCCACAATAGGACGAGACGGCCGTCCAGTGTTTCCAGGTTTTCAATGGTGGTCTAACATCAATTAGTTCATGATCTCAATCAAAAACTTAATAATCTCCACAACCCCTATACTGAAAATTAGTATTTGTTTAAAAAATTGAAATTAAATATGTTCCGAACAGGACAAATAATCCTCGAAGCTCACAATATGTAGTATTATATATGTAACGACCGAAATGCCAATATTTGGTTTAAACGCATAACTAACGAACCAAAATTAATTCGATTAGACCAGGGAACGTTCTTCTGTATAACGTGCAAAGCGTTTTTGAGTTACTTGTCTTAAATCATACCAAAACACAAACTCTGTGCTCATTTTAAAAAGCTTTAATTTATGAGGACAAATTATATCGAAAATACAAAATACTTCAAACGATACGGCCTGTGTTATATAGTCAAGGGTTTCTCTCACACAAATGGGAGTGCCAAACGACAAACGAAAGAGTTAATACACGAGAGTTCAATACCTGAGGATCACTAAGAATATTCCCAACAAGATAGGACCAGATATCTATCTGCGAGGATTCCAGCAATCTCCCCAAGCAGACAGTAAAAGGTCAACAGTCACAAACTGGACAACGCCGTGACCTTGAGCCTAGTCAAACGCGACCGAATTGTCAATAGTCCGGCAACATGCAACTAAAAATTAGGTAACAAAAGGCAAGTCTTTCATCAAAGTCGCGTAGTAAAAGTTCAGACGAGGAAGAATGAAGAACACAAAGTGATTAAAAGAGATCTGGATAAAGGTTAAAGTACGCAACAGGAAGGAGAGACAAACAAATGACAGTACTGCCCAACGAAGTGCTGTGGAGGGATTTCTAGCGTTTTCTTTCCATTACAATATCTATACGTAAAATTAGAGCAATAAATTAAAAACCTCCGATGTTAGCGTTTTTCACTGAGAAGTTTGTCGCAAACAAAGAATCTTGGCTAATCGAGAGACTTCAGTGACACACAAGAGCAGCAGATCTATTCACTCAGAATACAAAAGACTAGATGGCTGTGAATGAATCTCGTAACCTTTCAGGTTTACCATGAGAAATAAATGACAATCAATCATAAAGCTGGTTATTGCAACAAAAAGTAGTAGCTATGGCCACTACATTATCACTTATGAGAAGCTTTATTTGTGCATTTGACAAAAACGTGTGATATCACCCCGTTTTTTAGGGATGTAGATGATTTCTTTGTTATCAAACCGCACGGACTAAGTTAAACGTTTAAACGGG